GCATATGGCGCCAAAGAAGTTCAATATACTTTTAGGCGTGTCTCGTTTAATGAGCTTTTTCTATGAGACTTTGCTATAACGAGCAATTTGAATTCAGACCTATTTATTTGCATAATGGTAAAAAGTTTCGCTGAGCGGGCGGAGACGGATTGACCGATATGCATCCCACGGGGGCAGAGGGGTGCATGGGGGCCTGCAGCTGTTTGTTTACCAGCTGTGCTGTGTGCACCGCATGTTTCTGTCGAGCAGAACTTGTATTTGGACTGAAGGAGGAATCTAATGAGCTATGAAGCTTTTTGTCATAGATGTCCTGGAACGGATAGATGACACAGCCTCCTGGGTGGCTTCTCATACCGACAGAGGTCACAAATATCTGCTAGTAGGGGTCGAGTACTTCACACAATGGCCAGTGACGTGGTTCCTGGAGGATCAAACCACTCAGTCAATAGCAGAAGCTTTTGTGCTGAGTCAGGTGGTCAATTACACTGTGGTTTTCACACAGAAAGAAAATTTGAAATTTTCCTGCTGTGGGTTTCACACCTGATGATGATTGCTTGTGTTGCAGTCGAAACGTCGTGAGAATTTTGTTTTTAATTTTTATTATTTTATTGTTTCCCTTCTACGTGACTTTACCAAAAGAACCAATAATATGAATCCCTGCAGTCACGAAAGCTTTAAATCAAAAGTTGTTTACTTGTTACGGTTGACAGGTCCAGTTGAACCTTGTGTGTACTGTCTTGTCTTGCGGTTACTCGTTTATTAGTATTTTAAATTATTTTCTGTACACATGCACTCCACACCTAAACACACAAAGTGACAAGACTCCGGATGAGTTCGAAATTGCTTGTTTATTGACGAAAAAAAGGTTTTTTTTTTGCTCTTAATTCCTCCATACTCCTCTGCCGTCACAATTACCATGAATCCCGTGGATTCTCACGAGTTGTGTTGAGGACGACTTTTTTCTTCAGAAGGGGGGGGGGGGGGGTGATGTAGTGTTAATACTTATGCAATCCGGGGGTAGAAATACCCAAGGGATCCCAGGTTATTATTAAAGATGACGTGACAAAAGAAAGGAAAGAGTAGGCGGGGTTTGAGAGAGAGGGAACGCCCAGGGAGAAAGTGCGGAGAAAGTGGTGACGTCACCAGACGAGGCAGGGTGATTGTGGCGCTTACTGGTGGGATTGGGAGTGGAGTGGGTGCACATGGCGTGAGATCGTGCAGAAAATAAAGAACTGTGTCGTCTCAATCTTCGTCTGGTGGACTCATTAAACATACATTAGCAGGGTTGGCTACGTACATTGCGAACAAAATTCACCATACATACATGAGCATGGTTGCCTACGTATGGTGCGAAAGAAGTTCGACTTACATACAACAGGCTAATAATGAGTGAGCCACAGTTGAATACATTCGATGCAAAATCGTTATTCATATTGAAAGCATAGTGACAAAAAAATACCATGAAAAAAACATACTAAGGGGAAAATAATCTCTCAACATCACATTTGTATCGATGTTATCGTTTCAATTGTATTATATCGATAGTATTTGTCGTATCATATTGATTGTAATATATCGATTTATGGTATTGATAGTATCGCATCGATCTTACCATATCAATTTGATGGTACTGATCGTATTGTTTCAATCATAGAGTATCGATCTATCATATTGATAATATGGTATTGACTCATCATATTGATTGTACGTTATCAATTGTATGGTATAGATCATAAAGTTTGTATCATATTGATCTTAGCATATCGATTGTGTTGATCTATCATATTACCCATCATAACAATCTATAATATTGATCATACCATATCAATCGCATTGTATCGATTAGATTGTATCGATTATATCATATTGATCACATTGATCATTTCATATCTATCGTATTATATCGATCATATTGATGGTATCATAAACAACGATATTACAGAAATTCACATAGTTTGATCGAATAATTTGCAGTCACTCTCATCAAAGTAAATCACAGGCAGTCCCCAATGTTTACAGACGTTACAATGGAATCGGAAGAAACAGATGAGTACGGTTGGTTACATACGGTGCTGAAGAAGTCGGTTGGCGACGTATGGTGCGTAAAAAGTTCAACATGCATACCTACAAGCCCTCGGTGATGTTTCTCTTGTGAAGGACGCAATATATTAAGAAATAAAGTTTGATTGATTGACTTCAATTAAATCAATAATCACATTTAATCATGACAGTGATCTATTCAACAACAAAACTATGTAAATTATTTTCTTGAAAAACTACTAAACTATGTTTATTTTTCTTGGTTCTTTCGGTAAAGTCACGTTGAAGGGAAACAATAAAATAATACAATATTTTTTATTGTCTTTTTATTTATTTTATTGTTTCCCTTCAACGTGACTTTACCGAAAGAACCAAGAATATGAATCACTGCAGTCACGAAAGCTTTAAATAAAAATGTATGTTTATTTTACCAGATAAGACCCACTGAGCTATGCAGCTCTTTTCAGAAGCGACCTGGCTACACCTAACGATAGCTCTATGATGTGGCTGAAATGTATAGGAGCAGCCAAATACTCCAAACGCGTGATGTTGATTCTAAAAGTGGAGGGTCAGGTTCGGAATGAAACCCACGACCTCCTGCATACCAGGCAAGGTAGTTAACATCTCACCAACGAAGCGCCTCTTGATCTGCAACGTGCGTTTGATTGTATATTAACAGTCTCTGTGTGAGTATATGCTTATCTGTGTGAGTCTATGGCTTTGTATGAGCCGCTGGGTCTCTGTGAAAGTCCACAGCTCTCTGCGTGAGTCTATGGCTCTGTGTGAGTGTATGGCTCTCTCTGTGACCCTATGGGTCTATGTGAGTTTGTCGGTCCCTGTGTTAGTCTATAGGTCTCTCTGTGATTATGAGTCTCTGTGTGAGTCTGTAGGTCTCTGTGTGTCTATGATTAACTGTGTGAGTCTATGGGTCTCTGTGTGAGTTTGTGCTTCTCTGTGTTTGTCTATGGCTCTCTGTGTGAGTCGATGAGTCACTGTATGCGTCTATGGCTCTCTGTGTGAGTCTTGATGTCTGTTAACAGTTCCCCAGAATTCGCACAGTGTTTGAAATTAAAAAGCTTTTAATGGAGCTGCCCCAAAGTGTTTAGTTACCTAGTTTTCTGTATTTCCCTCATTTAAACTAACTCTTATAAACTCAAATTTTGATTTAAAGCTTTCGTGACTGCAGTAATTCATATTCTTAGCTCTTTCGGTAAAGTCACGTTGAAGGGAAACAATAAAATAATAAAATATATATAAAACAAAAAAATCTCAAGACGTTTCGACCATGACACAAACGGTCATCATCAGGTGTGAAAAACCAACGGCAAGAAACATTTGAAAGAAGTGGCGGTTTGCATTTATTTATTTTAAAACGGTGTTTGTATTTATTTATCTATAAAAACCGTTAGCACCACGGGCAGCGATTTGGCAGTTTATTTAGAAGGACGAGTCCATCTATGTTCTGAAAAGAGGAGGGGGGAGACGAAAAATTAATGTATGCTGTCTGAAAACCACCGTAAGCGTGAACAATCAATTAAGACCTGAAATGGTTTATCAAATCCTTCCAATGATTGCTAAGCCAGAATCCATCTTCTCGGTTGAAATTGTCTCTGTGCTTATATATGTGGATAGCCTCATGAACGAATCTCTCATGGTAGCCAGATGGCTTGCAAAGAACCTCTGTCTTGGAGAAGTCAATGTCATGTGAGCCTACTGAATTATAACAATGATTTGCCACGGCCGAGGTGTTGGTCCTACCGTGTTTAAGGTCTGCTTTGTGTTCACGAATGCGGTCCGAGACATGGCGTTTGGTTTCTCCAATGTAACTACTACAACAGAGGCAATTTAGTTTGTAGACACCAGGGTACTGTATGTCCGGAATCACATCTTTTGCTGATGGAACCAGATCATGGATTTTATGTAATGTGTTGAAACGGACCTGGATCTTGTGTTTATTCAAGATTTTGGAGACCTTTTTTTGTGATCCCCGCAATGTAGGGTAAAGTGATGGTTTTGAATGGCTCCTCAAGAATGTCCTTCTTCATGGTTTGAGTGATAGCTTTGCGGATTGTATAGTCGGAGTAACCATTATCCTTAAGAGTTTGGTGTACGTGCTTGAGTTCACTGCCTATGTGTTCCTGGTCTGATATGCATTGGGCTCTATGGTACAGAGTCTTGATGAGTGAATTCTTGTGGTGGATGGTGGTGGGAATCCGGTTTCAGATAAGCATCCGTATGGGTAGCTTTCCTATAGACAGAGTGGCTCATTGAACCATCAGGTCTCTTTTTTTATTAGGGCATCCAAAAAAGGTAGCTTGCCATCTTTTTCGACTTCCATGGTAAATCTGATGGCTGGGTGTATGGAATTGATGTGGTCGAAGAATTGGTCTAGAGCAGGCCGGCCATGTGGCCAGATAACAAAAGTGTCATCCACATACCTCTTCCATAAGGTTGGGCGCATAGTGGCAGTCTGGATGGCGTCAGTCTCAAATTTCTCCATGAAAATGTTAGCTATAACCGGAGATAGGGGGGAGCCCATTGGGGTGCCCTCAGTTTGTTTGTAGAAAGTTCCATTCCAAGTGAAGTATGTATTGGTTAAACAGTGTCTCACCAGGGGGGGTACCTCAGTGTTTAGTCCTTGATGAACCAAGTCTTCAATGATTGCGATGGTGTCAGGTACAGGAACTTTGGTGAATAAGGAAACTACATCAAAACTGACAAGCAGGTTGTCTGGGGACATGGAAATACCCTTAATTGTCGATACCAGGTGAGTAGAATTTTGTACCGCAGAGGTGGTTTTTCCAGTGAAAGGACGCCGGATTTCAGACAAAAAACGAGCCAAATTTTTTTTTTATGGTCGAAACGTCGTGAGAATTTTTATTGCTTTACATAGTAGAGACGATGGGACGAAGGGGTGTATCTACTTTATGTATATTTGGTTAGCCGTATAATCTTGGTGGCCTGGCAGCAGAAGGTTTCAACGAAAACTGTTTAGATTGATCAATTAATGCGGTTGAATCAGAAATTATTTTGTTGGTTTGTGTGACGAGGCTGTTGGTGGGATCTCTTTTTATTTAAACTCACTATAGCAGTGGCGTAATAACTAAATTATCAACTCAGAGGGTGCTACGGCAATCGGTCATGTAGGGTCCCAATTTTTTTTTATCTACTTCTTCATACGGTCGGATACACAAAATTATATATCACGGCTCCTCTTGCCCTAATCGCATCATCGTTATGCAAACGGTCTTCTAAAAATGTAACCAGTAACATTTCTGAAGTTGTTACCTCTTTGCAATATTATGTTACTTCTCTAATTAAATTGAAAGTGAAACGTAAATGAAAGCATTCCGGTTGTCAAGGGGGTTCCCCAACTCGTAGCTTTGGCCACCAGGTGGGACCAAGGCACCCCTGCCTGCCCCCACACTCGTTACGATTCTCCACAACAGCTTAGGTATGAATGTAAATATTACAACACTAGAATTTCGGCAAACTATGGCCACCTTATTCTAGCTCCTGTGGAGGGTTTCTCGGCACTTCGTGCATTGCCCGTGGCCCCCATTGATGTCCTCTTCTCGTCACCCCCCCATGTGTGCAGATACATCTCACTATATTGTATGTAAAGTGTGTAGGCATATATGCCTACAACAGTTATAGAAATATATATATATATTTGGGGGGGGGGGGGGGGTTGTCCACTTTCTAAAACGTTTTGATTCAGGCCTTCTGAAAGGCTCTTATAATTTAGTTGACAAACGGACAAATGCAACGGTATACTTTTATCATAGATAAATGTTATTTTAATTAATTTTATTTCAGTCTGTAATTGCATGGAATGCTTTGATGTTTTATGCCAGCCGAGTCGTTCTTGAGTAAGATCCTCGTAACACAATGGGTTTTGCTGAGTGAGAAATAAACGTCTGAAAAAGTAGAGTGGACGGCTAAATGCACACAGTAAAATTGTGCAAACGTTTAGCATGGTCTAGGATAGCTAGATATGGCTTCAGAGTGCCTTCATTTAACAGTTGATTGATCATCGCTGGCTAATGATGATGATAACGATGACTTAACTAGTCTTCTTAGCTCAATGGGCTCCACTCGGGAAATACACTTCTGATCCTTCTCATACAGATCTATCCTACCTCCAATTAGTGCGGATGGCTACGTATGGTGCAAAAGGAGTTCAGAATACATAGATAGAAACCTGCACACCCACATAGATTGAACATCCTGGATTTAAAACTCATTTATTTAGAACTGATTTTTGTGTTTAAGTATGTTGTCCTTCCCCACACCTCCAATTAGTACAGTTGGCGACATACGGTGCGAAAGGAGTTCCACATACAGTATATATGGCAAAACCCATGCCGCTATATAGCTAGGCTCACTGGCGGTAAGGCTATGGGTTCTCTCGGAGAGCATTGTTATCTTTATGAACCCAGATCAAGCGTTTCACCTTAATGGCTGCGTTAGTGGCCTCCTCGTCCCAGCAGTACTCTGGAGATAATATTTTACTCGGCTTGTTGTCGATAAAGTAGCGGTTCAGGTGACTTTCGTCGTGCCAGATGGCTTCAATCCCAGCACTGCGATCTTTAGTGATTGCCTGGAAAATGTTGTGCGTAACGTTCTTTATATGTGACCTGCGGCCACCGAACACGGCCGCGTGGTAGTAGAAGTCTCCTTCTCTGGTCGCAACGTAGGCCATAGACTCTGGCCGGCGCTCATAGGTGCACATCGCTGGGTCCACATTGAAGAACCACGAGTGGAGGACGACCACGGTGCTGCCCAGAACTTCGGGACCCCAGCGGTTTGTGAACAGCAGATCCACGTCGAAAGAGAAAACATACTCCTCCTTCACGGTTGTCTCAACAAGCCCATTGATGATCTTGAAGCGATCCATGCAGATGTCCTGCCAGCGTGGGCGCTTTTCCACCTGCAAAGAAAATTACACATTCCGCCAGAGTCATTGTCATCTGCTTTCAGTTTGGTCAACAAAGTCAGTGACGGTGCGACTAATATATTTTGTTCATTTTCTTCCAGTCAACAATTACTCTTTGAGTGAAAAAAGTTCATCAAACGTGACTTCACTATCGCTAGCATCCGTTCCTCCAGAAAAAAAAAAACTCACATCTCTTCTCCCTTAGCCCATCATCATCATTATTCTGATACTGCCTAACCTCACCCCCTAGCTAGAACAAGGCATAGCCCAACTCCTATCACTACCCCTACCCCAAATACTATCACTACCTCAACTTCTATCACTACCCAAACCCCTACCATTACCCCAAACCCATATCACTACCCCTATCACTACCCTTATCACTACCCCAACCCCTATCACTACCCCGACCCCTATCACTACTGCAACGACCTATCACTATCCCAACCCCTATCACCACCTCAACCCCTATCACTTCCCCAACCCCTATCATTACCCCAACCCCTAGCACTAAACCACCCCTCCCTAAGCTCTGCAGCCTGTTCTCCTGTCACTATAACTACACGACGACTCTGAGTAACCCCACTCTTTATTATCTCAACCACTATCATATTATGTACAATTGTATCATTGTTGTAAAGCGCCTTGGACCCAGGCACTATATTTACAACAAATCTATATAATATACAACTGTACCTACCAAAGAACCAAGTATGATAACAACAATAATAAACTCGGTATTAAAAAGTAAATTTAAAATTAGTAGACTCAAAGCGCTGCTGCTGTCCTATCACATGGATTTCATGCACGGCGAATTGAGGATCTACGAATGACATCTGTCTTGCCAGTTAAAATTATAATTGTTATTGTAGCAGACACTCCTCTAATCAACGCACCAAGACAGGTCAGGGTTCCAGCCCATTTATTTCCCCTCCATAACGTACAGCTCTCTCCCTCATCCACAGCCCCCTCCTTTATCTACAGCTCCCTCCTCCTTCCACAGTGCCCTCCTTCATTCACAGCTCCTTCGTTCATCCATAGTCATCTCCTCCCTTCCCTTCTCCAATGCCGCCTTTTATCCCCAAGGTCCACTCTCCCATGCCCCGCCTGCTCCCCTCATCCCTGTCACCTCATTCCCAGCCACAAATCACATATCTTCTTTGGTTCTTTCGGTAAAGTCACGTAGAATGAGAATAAAATAATCAAATCAAATAAGACAATACAATTATCACGAAGTTTCGACCACAACACAAGTAGCCTTCTTCAGGTGAAAGGACAGAACTGTCGGGATGACAGTGCTTCAATGAGCGCTGCTAAGATTTGTAGTGTCTTTTAAGCTCGGTGAGAGGTGTGAAGCGCCTTGACAAAGGAGTTTACATATCAAAGCAGGAGTATTAAGCATTGAAATAGCTGAGGAATTAGCTTGTGACAGAAGTAGCTATGTTAAAGTTTACATATCAACAGAGGCATTTAGTATATGGATGCTAAAGGCCTCCAACTACCCAACTATCATACAGTAAACCGATGTGAAAAAACTAAGTCTATATTACATCAATATAATAAATGTACTTAATATATTCTTCAATAAGCTGAGCTATTAATCACAAAGCAACTGGGTATACACTACACTATATAATGAATACCACATGGTAAACCAATAAAAAACTAAAATATAAACTACCTCAATGTTATCAATAAACTCTATATACTCTCTAATCAGCTTAGCCATCAACAATAAGTCGTTATATATCACAATGCCATGTGGTGAAAAATGGCGGTTTTCTTCCACTCAACGTCAGCACCACGGACAGCGATGAGCCCCATTCAGACGGACGAGTCAATCCATGCTCGGAACGGAGGAGGGAGAAGAGAAACAGCCACAATGCGCTGTTATACTCCATGTTATAAACCATACCATTAACCGTGGTGTGAGAGGTATTAAGAGGAAATGCCAGCGAAAGAGCTGCGGTCTGACGGTCACCGTAAAATACAATTAATTAAGAACCGAAGTGGTTTAAAACATCTTTCCAATGGTTACTAAGCCAGAATCCATCTTCTCGGTTGAAATTGTCTCTGTGCTTGTATATGTGGATGGCCTCATGAACGAATCTCTCATGGTAGCCGGTTAGCTTGCAAAGAACCTCCGTCTTGGAGAAGTCGATGTCATGTGAACCCACTGAATTTTAAAAGTGATCTGCCATGGCAGAAGAGTTCGTCCTACCGTGTTTCAAGTCTGCTTTATGTTCGCGGATGCTGTCCGAGATATGTCGTGTGGTTTCTCCAATGTAGTTGCTACCACAGAGGCACTTTAGTTTGTAAACGCCCGGGTACTGTATGTCTGGAACAGCATCCTTTACAGATGGAACCAGATCACGGATGTTATGCACTGTGTTGAATCGGACCTGGATCTTGTGCTTATTCAGGATTTTGGAGATCTTTTTAGTGACGCTTGCAATGTAGGGTAAGGTGTTGGTTTTGAGTGGCTCCTCAAGAGGATCCTTCTTCATGACTGGAGTGATGGCTTTGCGGATTGTGTAGTCGGAGTAACCATTAGCCCTGAGAGCCTGGTGTACGTGCTTGAGTTCACTGGCAATGTGTTCCTGGTCGGAAATGCATTGGGCTCTATGGTATAGAGTCTTGATGAGGGAGTTCTTCTGGGATGGATGGTGGTGGGAATCCGGTTTCAAGTAAGCATCTTAATGGGTAGCTTTTCTGTAGACAGAGTGGCTCATTGAACGATCAGGTCTCCTTTTAATTAAGACATCCAAAAAGGGTAGCTTGCCATCTTTTTCGACCTCCATGGTAAATATGATGGCTGGGTATATGGAATTGATGTGGTCGAGAAATTGGTCTAGAGCAGGCTGGCCATGTGGCCAGATGACGAAAGTTTCATCCACGTACCTCTTCCATAAGGTCGGGCGTAGAGTGGCAGTCTGGATGGCGTCATTTTCAAATTTTTCCATGAATACGTTGGCTACAACCGGAGACGGGGGGGGGGGGGCATTTGGGTGCCCTCAGTCTGTTTGTAGAAAGTTCCATTCCAGGTGAAGTATGTGTTGGTTAAGCAATGTCTCACCAGGGGGGTACATCAGTATGCAGTCCCTGATGAACCAAGTCTTCAATGATTGCGATGGTGTCAGGTACCGGAACTTTGGTGAATAAGGACACCACGTCAAAACTGACAAGCAGGTCGTCTGGGGACAGGGAAATGCCTTTGATTGTCGATACCAGGTGAGTAGAATTTAGTACCGCAGAGGTGGTTTTTCCAGTGAAAGGTCGCAGTATATCAGCCAGAAAACGTGCCAGTTTATAGGTGGGGGAGTTGATAGTAAAGACGATGGGACGAAGAGGTGTATCTTCTTTGTGTATCTTTGGAAGGCCATATAATATTGGTGGTCTGGCAGCAGAGGGTTTAAACGAGAACTGTTTGGTCTGATCAATTAATGCTGTTGAATCAGAGATGATTTTGTTCGTTTTGGTAACCAGGCTGTTGGTGGGATCTCTTTTTATTTTTGTATAGCTGCCATCGTTGAGTAGTTCTTGAATTTTGTTGTTATATTCTGTTTTGTCCATGATGAAAGTGGCATTGCCCTTGTCGGCTGAGAGGACGACAATATCATCTCTATTTTTTAATTGAGATAATTCAAAGCGTTCATCTTTGCTGATGTTGCTAGGTGGCATCTTAGCGTTTTTGAGGGTTGCAGCGATTTCAGATCTTGCTACGTTGTAGCCAACGTATTCATGGAAAAATTTGAAACTGATGCCATCCAGACTGCCACTCTACGCCAGACCTTATGGAAGAAATAACAACCAAGACGAGCCAAGAGAGGGGGTTTTCCCTGAAACCCATGAGTGCTGAATGTACCCTGGACTTGGTAGACAAGAACAGTCATTCATTGCTGGAGGACGTCTCTGAGCCGGACTAAACACCCCTGGTCATGGAGCTCTCCATAGCATCAGTCAATGTGAGGGGAATTTGGGGTGTGGCTACGCATAGGCAATGGTGTATTATCTGCTAACTTTAAGGAAAGACATGTATTTCCTGCAGGAATGCCACCTGCCGTACTCCCTCGGCTGGGCGAAGCTGTTTTAGCCCTGGGACGTGCACTGTTTCTGGTCATGGGTGCTACGCTAATAAGTGCACTGGGGTAGCCATCCTCCTAGGATGTAGAAGGGTCGAGGTACAGGAAGCCCAGGAAGTGGCCCCTGGCCATCTGCAATATGTCGACGCCACATATGACGGAGCTGCAGTACGCCTAATTAACGTATATGCCCCCACACGGTATGCGGATAGAGAGGAAATATGGGGTAATATAGCTGCCCTGCTGGTTACACAGAGGCATGTCGTATTTGGGTGTGATTTCAACTGCCCGCTCAGCCTTTCAGATGTGCTGTCTACTTCTGGTGGCCGGAAGATAGACCCCTCTTCTAGGAAACTCGGTGCCTTGATTAAGGATTTTGATTGAACTGACACCTTTCAGTTGCTGCACCCAGCACTCCCAGGTTTCACTTGGGCCAGTAGTTCGGGATCTCTGCTTTCAAGAATAGATTTTTTTTTTGTCTTGGCTAAAATTATAGCGGAGTATGTGGAGACTGCACCATTCTCATTTTCGGATCACAAACTGATTATGGCGAGGCTATGAATTCCGGGTGGATTACAGATATGCAAAGGGATCTGGAAGATGAACATTAGTGTCTTAGTGGAAGAGAAGGTGACGAGGGTTTTCATCAAACACTACGAAGAATGGAGAAGCCTACAGCGCTGCTTTAGCACCATGGCAGAATGGTGGGAAATGGTCAAAAGCCAGACCAAGGGACTTTTTCAGGCACACAGCAAAAGAATGAGTGTCAGAAATGAGTTGAGGGGCCTGAATGATCAGTTATAGAAGGTTTATTGGCAGCTGGAACTGGGTTTCCCAGTGATGGACGAAGTAAGACATCTAAACGATAAAATATCGTTGTCGCTTGAGAGACGGGTGGCACAGCTCGTTTTT